AGACCAGGATAAGTTATGGGTAGGGGTGACACCAAGGTATTTAACAGATGCAGATTTGGGAATGCCTTAATTGTTAATTCTAAAATCAGGGAGATTATCAACTAATGAAACATAACGGGGACTAAATGGAACTTCGATGCACTTACTGACGTTAAGTTTAACGGATCGGAAGATCGACGGCGAGCATCACAGAATGCAAAAGTATGACTTGTGATTCAGTCTAAGTTTGCCTCACTAAATTCTTACTTAGTACGAAGATCGTGATCCTATCATCGAGACGAACCATAGCACTGTAGATAGAATTTTCATATCAATATAAATTTAACGGAACTGAGCCGAAATTTCACGGTCCATTCATAAGTATTTATAAGTAGTAATTAAGGTACGGGGTCACACGATAGCTGTTTCCCAACCCTGTTGAATCCAACAATTATGTTGAGAAACTAGTCTTCACGGGTTTTCCGTTGATTAAAATGCATATTTAGTGGGCAAAACTCGAGACATACTAATCAGTTCATTGGTTCGCACTTTCGACGCAAAACACTGATTTCAGTGTGATGATTGTGCATAGACATCTTACCGCTACATTTCATTGACGATTATGGTCATTTGATACGTATCTGCTAGAAATTCGCTTGGTATTGCGTTACCAAAGAATGATCTCAACTAACAATGGCAAAACACATGATGGTGGAACCTCGGAACATTCAAGATCGATCATTTGTGGACTACATATTGATACATAGCCTGTTTTTCCTCTCATGTGGTTAAGACGTGTGGGCACTTTATTAAAAAGTAGTCCTATTGAAATCAGCGGTGACAATAAAATAAAATCCTCACAGTCATATACAAACGCTGGTTACTAGCATAGGCACACGTCACGCACTGTGCGCAAAGTGAACTGCAATGTGTTCTCCTGCGTTCTGTGCATTTGTTTTACTGCCAGGCTTGAGTCCACCAAGTTTGTGACGTTAGTGTTGAGGCCCTATACAGCTTTTCATTACGTGTTTAAAACTGCAAGTTTATTTATTTTTTCGGAGTTCAGTGAACAAATGTACAACTGTATTGAAATCCAGGAAGTTAGGCCGTCAAAAAAACCATTCCACTTCATTCAGGAGACTCGAATTGACGATGATTAACGCTTATGACGATTTATGGTCATCTGATAGTTCGTCTGAAAGTAAAAATTTAGAGTTGGTGGTGATCAGGCGGCAAATGTCACCAAATTATCACCCCGGAAGACGTGTATTCGAATCCTACCACAATTGCATGTCTTTACTCATTCTCTTCATTTTATGGCAATTCTTTCATTTGCCGTTTATCCTTTCCTGAAAATTGTATCATATTGTATTCAATAAAAGGAAGTAAACTAAAAGATAGTAAAATAAAAAGGACGAATCAACTACTATTATGTACAATGATCTATGGTGCTCTTTTCACGTCTGACTGCATCCACGTAACCAGATCGTCTCTGTGGGTCGTATTTAACGAAATTTGTTTTTTTTTCGAAATTGCTTAAAGTTTCCATTATATCTCATATTTCACAGTTTCTAACAAATGGAAAAACTAACGTTGATTACGGCCTATCTATTACCAAACTACTTTATGCAATTCTCATAGACACATTTACCGGAGAGTTGTGCGAATTTTATACAGTGTTTTTTATGATGTTTTCTTCCTCGAAATTGAGCCATTATACGTAAATTCTCAACTTTGACTTATCTGCCTATCTTTACACCCATTGCGCTAGATTGCATCTCGTATACATAATTATCGCAGTTTACGAATAATCACCTGATCACTTGTCCTGGCGAATAAAGCGAACAGTGAAGTCACCGATTTGATTTGATTTGTTCTTTACGGAATTAGAAAAATATGAACTGTAAGCTGATGTGTGAGGCACACCTCTGTCAGTTATGTTGGATAACGTTACCGGTGGGAATGTATCGATTGAACCACGGGTTTCACAGGTGGAACACAAGTAAAATAGCCTCTTAACTACATGGTATCTGACAAAATCTTTCATCTTGTCCAGACACAATCTCGCCATAGGCGAGTCACTGAATTCGCCAATCTCGGTACCGGCTTACGGGGCTCCAACTCTTTCGGCAGTATTTCTGATTTGATTGTTTGGTACTAAAGAACAGTGGAGAGCTTGATCAAATTGCATTCTTAAGTCCTGCATATTCTGAGCAAAGAGCTTTGAAAGAAAAGCTAGGTTTATATTCAATTATCTCTAGTATTCAAGTTGCTGAAATTTGTTATTGAGTTTCCAATCTATTGATTATGTTGATTTTTAAAATTTTTTTATTCATGACAGTGACCGGGTCATTTAATGGAAACATGAATGAACGTGAGAAAAATTTCTATGTAGTACTCATACAAATGTACTAGCCTCAGGCCCCATGTATTGTGTCCGATAACAGTTTCCAATTGAAACCCAAAACAGTTCACCGTTCGAATCCAATCAGGGACACAAACGCCAACTGAATCCCCACAAAACACCAGTCTGGCACTGTTTGCCGACTATCACATACAGAGTCTCATGGATGAATGAATTTCCGCAAATCCTTCCATCATTAATTTCTTTCATTCTTTGGTGTTCTTTACATGACCTTGTAACCGTTTCTGCGAAGTTATTACCCAATACTTGTTCACAAACTATATTACTAATAAATCTTCAAAAAGGATTACAACTCGTAGGTGCATCAGACAAATAAAAAACTGCTCATAATTGTTGTTTTTTGTTCTCAAACACATCAAGTCTTGAATCTTGGCCCGTACGTTTTGAGTAAATAATTTCAGTACAAATTGCATTCCTGGCTCGGTTAATACCTTTGTTTCTTCCTTTGTTTGATCTGGTAAGTGCCAAAGCGCAATCAATTGTAGTCAACCAAACTTCCTGCAATTCAAACTCTCTTCGAATGGGTAATCTTCTGCAAGTGACGATTGTCACTAATACACGGTGCTCAGGTGGTCATGTCATATTAGCTAACGGTAAAGGAATCAGTCTGATCAGCATTTTTGCATTTCGCTGGAATGCAGTTCACCACTTCAAGTGAGCTGCACCATCTACTAAAAAGGTGGAAAGGTTGCGACAACCACAAGGAATCGTATTTTATGTGAGAAACAAGCTGACAAGGGACGAGAGCTATATCGAGTCGTGGTGGACAGTCACGAAGCATTGTAGCAAGACGGAATAATCAGAAAATAACATCAAGGACAAGCCCGCAAGTTCGGAATGAAGTGGATATGCACTGCTGACAGTTAGTTCGTAGCGGAGACGAGACAGTCGAACAGATACCGATTGTAGTCAAGGGGAAAGTAGCAGTCTGAGAATGCGTGATAAATACGTTTCTCAAGAATCTTAGTACCTGTTGATATTCTTAAGTGCTCCAAGCTGGAAGTGGTAGCCAAACTAAGCAAACTCATCAGTGTGATGATGTTGTTTACCTTGGCTACGAAACGTCTGTGAACAACACTTCCAGCTCGGAGAACTCAAAATCCGCATCCCAAGCTACAATCATTTCACATCATTTCCAATCCTAGTACTCACTTTTATTCTTTTTACGATTGAGATCAGAAAAGGAGTACTTAGGTTTTACATTAGGTCTGCTAATTACTCATTCAAATATCTACGTTTCAATCGCCTGTGAAGTAGAAATTTGAACAAACTCCAATCGTAAGTCTCATCAATTATTCTAACTCGTCTTCATATTTCTCATTTTAGAACCGATATTGAACCAAACTCTTCTCATTCACAATTCGAGCTTTGCAGTTAGTTTATGACAAACTTGTGTTTCCATTTCATCGAATCATAAGAGAACTTGCTGGGCGTTCATACTCACCCACGATAGAACTGTGAGTCAAAGCTAAAGGATTACGGGTTTTGGCTAAATGATAGTTGGAAATGGTTTAGTATTGGTGTGTCTCACTTCAAACTATGCTGTCAATTTGCTCACAGTGGTGATGGTTTTCGGTGCGCACTTTCAAACACCAAACGTTGATGATCGGTGCTAAATTTACATCGGATTCGAAAGCGTGCAACAGCACCCGACCATAACCGCCTCCTCTTTCGTCTGATTGGTCCGCGATTGTTCCAGCCCGGAACCAAAAAAAAAAGTCTTCCGCACTATATGTTAATTCTTTGGAACTTGTTTGTGTAAATGAACTTTGCGAATGTAATAAAACAAAAAAGGATAAACACGTGTCTTCATTTTCGTGACAAAAATGAAACGATATCAAATATCGGCGCGCACACTCACACACACTATCCAATATCGATTGTAATCAACAAAGCTAGCACATGCCTTTTTGTGTTCGTAAAACACAAACGCGGAATATTTTAACAGTCGGGGATCGTAAAACAAATCAGGTGTTGCCGGAAAATGCAGGAAATCGGTCAACATAAGTGCACACTAATTGTGACTGGTGGACTGCAAATGACATCGAGATTAATTCCTTGTCACAAGATCAGATTGACATCATTAATTAGTTAATATCATTAATACAATACTGGGCAGTGTGTGTTGTCAGAATTTTGATAACCTGTCTCCAGAACGGAACAAAAGATCTCAAGGAAACATACGACTCAACGGTTATTCAAAAATAATTGAATATCACATATTTGATCTTCTAATCATATTTATTAGGCGAATTTCACTTCAAATATCCGTGTATATGTGCATGCTTTCATGGAATGGTCGGTAGTCGAAACAGTTTCAATACAATTAGTTGAACGCAAAGAAAGACCAAACTAAATTAAACGATAAGCACCAATACTGTTCCTAAACCCACCCCTCCTCGGACCAGACGGCATGGATATTGACTAGTTGTAGACTCTAGACATTCATTTGATTGGTCTATTTATTTAAACTGTTGATTGGTCAGTGTAAACGTAGCACTGGTTAATACTAATGTCCACTTATTTATATTTGGATCGGCCGATCTTCAGAACAATATACAGTATTGTGACTACTGTTCACATGGCTTGGTTTAACATGTTGATCCTACTTGTGCTATGTTTGCTCAGTTTGGAACGAATGGGGTAAGCGGCGAGTTTCACTGAATAACCCGTATTCACTCATTTTTTAAAACAATTACTGAATCGAAATTGTTTTGTCTGGTGTACACCGAGGCAACTGATATAAAATTCTTTGGTGAACTTGTTTTGTTTTTTTAATTGTTGTTGTGAGGAGTGTTGCCATCGTCAGCTGGCAAACAGACTTGAGAGCCCATCTCCAAACCGAACGATCGAACTGGCACGATTTGCCGAAATTTGTGTTACTAACATTTGGGAGAGGAGGAGGGACTTCACGGCCGTAGATATTCTCTTGAACCTCCTTATTTTCTCTGATATTATTTTTACTTATCCTTCGTAGTATTCTGTTTTAAACTCCATATATTCGGACAGTCCAAGGAATGACTATTCAAACCACCACTCAAATTTTGGAATTATCCAAGTGTGCACTTAAACA